AGTTTGGATGAATTAATCAAAAGTAGGTCAGTACTCATTTACATAGACCTACAGAAACAAGTTCCTCATGGCAACCCGTCAAAATATAAGTTCTGGTTAGCTTAAAGAAATGATCAGAAATATATTACTGTGGTGCAGTATGATGTACATAATACTACTCAGGGATGAAAGTTTTCCGTCGCTACGACGGATTTCCGTCAAGGGAAAAAAAATGAGGGGAAAAGAAACATTTAGCACATTGTTGTAGTTCTGACGATTTGTTGGTAGCATAATCTGATAGGTAGCATTATTTGTCAGAACACCAGCACACCAAAAATCCTCCCGGCCACGGCTGCAGCTTCTCACTGACAACATAACGCCGCTAGCATCATTCACAGTCGGGTTATTAGCAGAGAACACAGAGCAGGTCTTGAATTTCAGGCGCAGGATTGCGGCTATTAATAATAATTATACTCATTCCCGCAGGTTCCGCGCTTATAACGTGATGACAGATGACGGAACTTATCTTTTGCACGTACTTTTGAGTCTTGAGAACTCTCATTTTCTGTGCGCCCACAGATCGCGATAAGGAGAGTGACAGATTTTAATAATTATTCAAGGAGTTTGCAAATGTGATATTGATTTAATATAACAGTTCTATAAACACGTACTGCCTGATTTTGCTCTATTTCATCAATGAAAATAATTCCAAATATAGTAACAGCTTAGCCGCTGTGCATCTCTAAAAGCAAACACAGCGGTGTTTCATTCATGAATGAAAGTAAAAATAAAATATATAATATTGACCATGAATCATTTAAAAAAAAAAACTTTAATTAATCAGATTTTATAATATCAAACACTTATCAAAACAGACACCAACGAAAAGGTTCTCTAACTGTTCAACATTTGTTCAGTAATCCAAATACAGGAAGCAGCGCCCTTGATGAAAACCAAACAACAGTTTCCCAAACACAGAAAGTACAGTCACCTTGAAACCACGGCAACACTGGCTTGGACAGATGATATTTCCAGCAACTCTGTTGCCTCAATCACACTAACAGCACTGTTCTCAGTTTATTAACTATTCTCCTACATCCAAATTTCCCAATTGCATCAGTCTTTGCCCTGAAACATCATAAGTGTTTAATTATGTAATTGTTTAGTGAGAGGAGAGGACACCTGAAACAAAACACGGGTCTGAAGCCCCACACCTCAAATTTAGCTGACAATTAGAGCAACAAAACAGACTCCACTAAACCCTCAGCCCAAATTAAATTTAGACCACAGAACATCCAATCAGATCACAGCAGGTAAAGTAATCTGAGCAGCACACCTCTCCGTTTTATTTTAGGTCATATATCTGGAGGATCTGTCTGTGGGAGGTGTCCTTTGCGCTTGCCTGGCAATGTGGCCATGTTTGTGCGTACCGTAAATGAATTAAAGAGAAGATTAATGAGTCAGGAGAGTGGGGCTCAGACTCCAATCTGTTATGCATCTCACCGGGGAGACATCACCATCAGCTCCCATTCTGTCAGTCAAATCCCAATGAGCTGGGACACACACACACAGACTGCATACATCCATATACATACAGACCAAAACATTCATGCATGTGCTTGGATACACATGCAGCCAGATTTACCAGCCTCTGACCTAAACCTGCTCTTACAGGCAGACATAGCCTCTGGGGATATTTGTCAAGAAACAGACTGTAAGACTTATGCATGTTGGATGGTGCTGAAGCAGAGCATGCATGTAAAAGAATGGTGTGGTGCTAAGAAACAGTCATGCTTTTCATATCACAAACGCTGCACAATTTCCTTAAAAATGCAATGACCTATGTGTTGGTCAATCCCATTTATAGGAAGATTTCCCTAAAAAAAGTAGACACTGGGGTAGCCTAACCAACTCAAAACAATTAATGTTTAACCAATTTGTCAACCACTGGCAGTCGAAGGAGAGTCCTGTTTGAAATTCCAGTTAGTTAGTGGAGCAGAAAAGACATTTCTGAGGAGGAGAACAAGGTGGAACCTAGAAAGAGACTCCTAACCATATATGACTGATCAATCAGATAGGATATCAACAATCAGAGAGGAAATCAACACACTTTATCAGTCACTTCAAATCCATGTGACTCCATCGTCATGGCCTTTATTCACGGCTGATTCTAATCCTTTCTTCTTTCAGACGAATTCAGTCGGAGTTATATTAAAAATGGTCTTTGATCTTCCAAGCTGTTAAAATGGCAGTCAGCGGGTGTTGCAGTTCATCAGTCCAAAAGAAGTGAAATAAAGCGCATCCATCCATCCATAATAAAAAGTGCCTCACAAGGCTCCTGTAACGAATCGATATGTTTTTGTAAGAAAAATAACCATATTTAAAACTTAATAATCAATTTAATCTAGCTTGCGCTTACTGTTGTACACAGAAGCAGCTCTGCCGAGCAAAGAGATTTTTAAATAACTTTATTATTAAATAAATGGATTAAGTGAGAGATTTTTGCTGATTTCGTTTTTTTGACCCCATCGCGCGTGTTGACGCGGTGCATTATCTGATCGCTCCTGGGAAAAGCGCGAGAGTTCTCAGGAAACACTGGATCAGCCAAACACGTGCTGACAACGAGGCTCACAGCACATTCCAGAAGCTGCTCTTTTTAGTCGCGGGGGAAAATTATATAAAAAATTAAATACATAATAATTCGCATATTATGCTACTTAAATGACTAATGACTCTGTCCGAATATGACGCATATTCTCTAAAATACGAGCCACATCCTTTATTTCACAGGTACTGTATGAGTAATGTTATGTCTATTACATGATGTGGTCGCACTTACTGATGTCGCTGGATTGATCAGCAGACACTTCCAAGAGCGAATTCTGTGCGGTTCTAATAAGGAGACACGCGGTGTGAATGCACTGCGCACATTCCCACAGAGTCCCCGCGTGTATGAATAACGTTATCTCCCAGACGAACACAAAGCTATTCACGGTTTTGTTAGGATTCTCAAGAAACAACATGTTTTTGTCTTAAAGGAAAGTCTACATAGAGTAGTGGCTAATATACAGATATGCAATGTAAAGATTAGAAAGCCTAATCTTTTATCGACCAACTAGTTAGCAACTAAGTTACTTAAAGTCTAACGTCAACATTTTTCTACTTTATCGCACGTTAACGTGCTTATTGACAACGTTTAAGATAATGACAACACGGAGAGTAAAAGAGCATTCAGCTTACCAAAACACAGTCTGCTTACTCCTCTCGTAGATTAAGACAACCAAGCAAACAACTCCAGTGAGTTTATGTGAATGTTAGTTATAGATTAAGCGACAATATCAAATGGAAACAGCGACAGGTCAAAAGTAATACTGTATGAGGAAAAAACGAGCCAGTGCTGGATATGTGTCTTTAAAGCAGACCTCCCCTCTCTGTGATAGGATATGATCACCAAATGACGCTCTCGCGCAGTGGCTGCCTACACAACCATTACGTAATAAAGGCTCCGTTCTCGGGCCCACAGCAGAGGCCGAGCGGAGACCACCGGTCAGATCTGTAGTGCAAGACCTATCAAACCTTCAGAGAAGCGACCACACAGAATCACTGCAGTCCGAGAAAACGGACATATAAGGACCAAACTCGTAATGATCAGCCAAACATTGCTGCTGATCACAAGCAGAGCCTGAGAGCTCTCCAAATGCCGCACTGTCTAAGCTGAGGAGAAACGCTGGATGTAGATGATTGTTGTAATCTTGTTGTAATGTTGTAATCTTTTCTCGGTCAGCATACATGATTTGCGCACGTAAGTAAAATTAAACACACCCCGTTATGTTTTATTTTCGAATGAATGCAATGCATTTCTGCACGCATATAAGTCATGAGAAAGACCATATACTAGCAAGAGAGCAAATTAATAACAAGCCCTGTATAACTGATGGTTCTCGCTGGCCAAGAATGCAATTCCTGTCAAATTCAAGCCAACGACGTCAATCTTTCCCCCTTCGGCTAGTTAGCCGTGTAGCTAAGTTACCGTCATGGAAGATGGACTGGCTGTACAGGGAAACACAAAATCATTTGGAAGCGAGTATAAAGATAAAGCTCACATTTCAGACCGAGCCGCAGACCTTTGGTACTTACTCGGATATTTGTAAAGGCAAATTCTCCCGCATGATCGATGTCGGCGTGTTTCTCCTCGACCAGAGCGCATTCGGTGTAGAGCCGCTGTCAGCCGCGCATTCAGCAGCGCTGGCTCAGTCCCGCCCCTTCAGCCCTTCAGAGCTGCTCTTTAAACTAAGGGCCTATTCATACATTACAGCAGACACATCAGATGTGGACTGAGTATGCTGGCTCACTCCAGAGTCGTTAATTAAAGCTTATTATCATTTGAAAAGCAACATTCGATTATGTTTTCAAATGTTGAGACGCGCCATTCAGTGTAACTGCTAACGTTACTAATACTAAAGACGAAATCTGAACAAACTCGCAACTTTTACACATTATGGGGTCTGATATAAATTCCTCTCAATGATTTTCTTCATATAACTACAAATATTAGGATATGCTTACTTAACTGACGTTATGAATGTACATTTTCGATAGCCGTAAACGACTCGAGCTCACTAAACAAAGAGTGGCAGAATTACTATGGTAACCTTTGTTACCCCAAAGCGCGCGTGAGGCGTCTGTTACAGCGACACCCTGAGGCGCATTTAAAGGAGTACGAATCTTCGCTTTATTCAAATGTAATTCTTCGTTTGATATGCTGGTTTTGTCATGATATAAAGCAGAGGTTTTCTATCTTTAAACACCAGGGACCCTCCACCCAGACTCTCGTTCAAACAGGAGACCCCTAGTGTAAAAGAACAAACATTACTACACTATATATGCAGTTTAGATCGTTAGACAGACAGAAATTCGGTAAGGGAAATGCCATAAAAATATAAGGAAACTCAGTTTTAGACCCCTCTTTGAAAACCTTAATATAAAAGAAACATCTACAGGAGAAAATTCAATGGTTCAGAATTTCAAACTTTATTGATTACTTCACCAAATGCTTGTAAGATTACATCACAATATGTATACAGTTTAACATTATTCTGTATATTTTACATGAAAACTTTACACATTGTATTTCTTCATATACTATATATATTTATATTTCCCAGTCTCAAGGGAAGCAAAGTAGACATCCATAGTTGCAAGGGAAGGAATGCTTTTCAGAAAATATTTAAATGCACTTCAAGAATGAAATGCATCCTTAATGAAAATGAATTGGGAGTTGAATCTACACTGGTAATACACTAATAAGTCATATGTTGCTGGGGTTTAATGAAGATATACCTGGATTATACAGTACATTTGTATTCCTGTATTTCTCCCACTTCACTAGTTTTATGGTAATGAACACTGATGCCAGTCATCATCAGTGACTGGCATCCATCCCATAAACTGATTCAGTCTGACTCCAAATCAAGAGTGAACAACACTTGAAAAATGAATTGTTTTAAAAAAAATCTATTAAGCAAACATTAGTGCACTAAAATTAAATATTCATTTGGTGTCTTAAGATTTCAATGATACATATGAACCAAAAAAAGAATAAAAAAAGAATGAATAAACCCTTAAAAAAAAAAAAAAGCAATAAATCTGAATATGATGGAAACCAAATGAGCATGATGTGTGGCATAGAAGAAATGGTAGTGTCTGTCTGGTCTGGATTAGCAAGCGTAAGCATCGACATGTAAAATAAACACTAAATGCTTTGAAAGCAACCGTTACTTAGGGCAATTTGGGGTTTAGTGTGAACACACCGAAACCAAATTTAAGTCTTTTACCCCAAACTATAAGCATTTTAAATGCAAACACCTCTGTAGGTTGCTTGAGTGAATTTAAATCAGAGATAATTGTTTAATTGTATGATGAATCAATAAAGAACATTGATAACGGGCATTTTTGGACCTTAACAAATCGTTAACAAATATGCCATTATTCAATGGCACAAGCTCATTGGGTGTCATTTACATGCTCTTAATAACGGGATGATCTCATTTCTGTATGTCTATCTTTCTTCAGCCTTTAAAACAGACAAAAATTTACAGATAGGACAAAAGCCAAAACAATGAAATCAACAGACGATCAGAAACCAGATATACAGCAGTACTGGTAATAAATTATTTTCGTAGCCATCCAGAAGAAAGTCCAAATAAAAATAAACAAATATGACTCATGACTCTTAACAACACAGACAGATGACACAGCAGAAGAGTCACCCTGCTGGGTCACAGTGCTGTTCTCTCATAGGGGAGCGACTGGCAGCAATGAGTCAGGACTGGCAGAGGAAAGTATGGGACAGTCACACGCAATCATTCTGCGTTCCTGTACGGTCCTTCAAATCACAGCAGAGGCTTATACACGCAGACCATCCATCCACTTTACAGCCCCGCTTTCTTCCCAGTTCATCTCTGATCTGTGTTCCCAGTTTTGATCCACATTATGATGATGAACGCTGAGCTTTGCCCAATTCAGGAGCGGCGATGTGGAAGACGGAGCCGATGCGAAGGAAAAATCGCCGCAAAGCAGCACGAAGCTCTGGAATGAGGTCAAACTGCATCATCTCACACAGATGGTGGTAGTAGCAGGAGGCATGAGGCTTGAACTGAAAGAGAGATGACAATGTTAGACATTCATGGGCTGATGCCATTTTATTTCATATTACTTTATTTGAAATTTAATAACATTTAATTTAAAGTGTTATAGGGGTAGTTCACCCAAAAATGAAAATTACCCCATGGTTTAGTTACCCTCAAGCCATCCTAGGTGTATATGACATTCTTCTTTCATATGAATGCAATCAGAGTTATATTAAAAAGTGTCCTGGCTCTTCAAAGCTTTATAATGGCAGTGAATGGTGGTTGAGATTTTTAAGCCCATAAAAATTGCTCCACATGGCTCAGGGGGTTAATAAAGGCCTTCTGAAGTAAAGTGATGCATTTGTGTAAGAAAAATATCCATATTTACAGCTTTACAATCCGTAATCTCTAGCTTCTGCTAACTGTGGTACGCATGTTTATGAGAGAGTGGCGTTTCAGTGGATGACGTAGGTGTAGCATAAGCTTCCGGTTTTGAATATAGATATTTTTCTTACATAAATGCATTGCTTCACTTCAGAAGGCCTTTATTAACCCCTCTGAGCCATGTGGAGCACTTTTTATGATGGATGAAAGCACATTTTTCTGGACCACCATTAATGGCAATAAATTAGACGAATTAGACATACAAATTAGAAGTACAAAACGATAAAGCTTGGAACAGCCAGGACTTGCTCCACATGGCTCAGGGGGTTAATAAAGGCCTTCTGAAGTAAAGTGATGCATTTGTGTAAGAAAAATATCCATATTTACAGCTTTACAATCCGTAATCTCTAGCTTCTGCTAACTGTGGTACGCATGTTTATGAGAGAGTGGCGTTTCAGTGGATGACGTAGGTGTAGCATAAGCTTCCGGTTTTGAATATAGATATTTTTCTTACATAAATGCATTGCTTCACTTCAGAAGGCCTTTATTAACCCCTCTGAGCCATGTGGAGCACTTTTTATGATGGATGAAAGCACATTTTTCTGGACCACCATTAATGGCAATAAATTAGACGATTTAGACATACAAATTAGAAGTACAAAACGATAAAGCTTGGAACAGCCAGGACACTCCGAGTGCATTTGTCTGAAAGAAGAAAGTCATATACACCTAGGATGGCTTGAGTAAATCAAGGGGTAATTTACATTTTTGGGTAAACTATCCTTTAAATCTTTTCAGTTAGGGGTTTCCCTTAAAGACCTTTTAGCAGAGTGTCAATCTAGAGTGGAACGCCACAGGGAAAACCTGATATTATCAGAACAGTGATGAATGGGAAAGTGTATTTTAGTTATGGACAGGGAAGATCCCCAGGGCTGCTAGTAGTTTGTCTGCGTAATAGCGCAGGTCTCTTTTACATATAAAGGTCATCACACTGACAAGCTGGCATTTCAGCAGCGTGCTTCCTGTAATAAAAGCCTTAACTCAGACCCATGAAGGATAAGAGAGATATCCAAAACAAGACTTTTCCTACAGGAAATAACACCCATTGGCTAATTATCAGACTCACCTGTATGGTTAATAAGGACACTATTTTTGCTCTTACATGGAACATGTCAATATTTTACAATATAAAACCAAGATCTAGTGGCTAACTGGATGTCTGACTCAACATGAAGGACAAAAAGTGCACCACTATCTTTAACCATCTAATCAGGAACCTTGAGTTGAATTGTAAAAAAGACATACAACCTGTTGTTATGACTCTTTTAGCTCAGTGAAAAATGTAATATCATAAACTCCATGTGGTGCCAAATATGCTGAATATTTCAAATGTAAATAGAAAAAAAATTATTATTATTATTATTCAAATAAAACAATACCCCCCTCCCCCCCCAAAAAAACCTGTTTCATAGCTGGTATGAAATATTTATTGGCTGGTGAGACAAAAAGTTAATTTTGGGCCCTGCATCTAATGTTCTGGTTCAGTGTTTGTTTATGTATGTTATTACTTTGTCATCAGGCATTCTGAGTGTCCGGGTGAGTAGCAGCAGCAGGAGGCTCGTCCAGGCTTCCCGGTGGCTCTCTGAGGTAAGACTGATGAAGTAAGCCAGGGCTTCACTACACACTCTAAATCAAACACACACACACATATCATTACTGTCCCGATACCTTCCCATACAGCATATGTACAGTGGTGTTGCTGGTCTCCTGCTTCAGAAGATTCGGTTTTGACTTCCCCTTAAAGCCTTACATGCAAGATTAATAAAAGACACGCACAATAAGAAAAGACAGTCTCCTATAAATGTCAGCATTACCACAACCCAGACGAGGAAATACAAGAGTGCGGACCTGCTCTCCAGAGCGCTGTCCTCTGCTCATTGTTGGAGTTGAAGTCCTTGGCAAACCTGTGGGACTCAAGGAGGCAGTCAAGTAGTTTGAAGAGGTGCTGTGATGACAGGTGTCTGTACATGCCCTGATCGGCCTCTGTCTCTTCTGCTTGCTCAAGTGCATCTCGCTATTGGAAAACACACAGAGACAGAACAGAAGACACTTAAGTTTAGCATGCTATAACTAAGCCATGGTATCAACACCATAAAGGACTGTTCACACGTAAAAAAAGATTTGTTTATGGAGTTTACTTTCAAACAGAGGTTATGTGAACACACCTGAGCAGCGGCCATGTTCTCAGCATCCTCCCTCTTGCTGGTAGCCGGGTAGAATACAATGTTGTCTATGGTCTGAATCAACTCCAGCTGTACGACACACTTTATAAGAAGCCCTGCAAACAGCCTGTGGTCCGAGACCCCTAGATTGGAGTAAGAGAGTAACATGTTAAAAGTCAGAGGACAGAGAACTGATGTGTAAAATGGCACGAGGGATTGGCAACAAGGTTGTCAAGTGTTGTTTTATTCACATTCAGATCAGCCTCCACTTATTTCTCAATGACCAAAATCAATTCCTGCAATATAACTTTATTCTTGTTCAATAAGCAGTTTCACTTGGATATACATCACAGTAGAGAACAGAAGTCGATTGTGATTTCAGTTTCATGCCGACTTTAAAAGAGGAAGAGGTCATATTGTTCAAAGAGAATGTGGCTGTTGGTGTGTGGCGTCGGCAGCTTATCAGACTTCTTTATATTTTGGACAAAATAGGCGAGCTGTGTGGCATAAGGTTACGTTTGAAACTCAGTACAAGAGTGAATCCTATTGAAACTTCAAAGGTGTGGAATTGAGGATTCTTTAATGTATATAAAGTTCAAAATAACAGCATTTATTTGAAGTAGACATCTTTTATGACATTATAAATTCTTCACTGTTACTTTTGCATTGCAGCTGTACGTACTGGTTTGGGATTTTCCTTTCCAGGTTTCATCACTGGCGGTGGACATCTGACTGTGTCCTCTCTCTGAAAGAGTCCTCTCAAAGCTGCTCTGCGACTGAGAATCAACCTCAACATCCTAAAAAACACACACATGCATATTAAAACCAGAGCCTTATATGTAAATGTCTACTATAAATAGCAAGCAAAGCCTGGTGGGTGTGTCTTACTGTTAGCAGAACGTAGTACACAATGTATGACAGAATAAGGGCTTATAAGTGCTTGATTGTGGTTAATTATTTGTGTGTGTATTCACAATATTTATTTATGTTACTGTGATCTCACCATGTGTTTCCCTTCTCCCACCTCCTCTTCCTGTCCAGCTGGTCGCCATGTCAGCAAGCTGTTAAGAGCAAAGTCAGAACCAAACTGAGAGAACATTTCATAAGCAGAGCTACAGGAGCCTGAACAGCCTGTTCAAACACTCTCCGATTTCAATATCAGTGGTCATGTCAAGAGTTGGAATATGTTGGTGTGTCTTGACAGAATAAAAAAATCCTTTCAGATTTAGCTAGAAAATACAAAATATTCTGAAACTTATTGAGATTAATTAGCATATCATGTAATTTATTTGATTGTTTTGGTGTATTTAATTTTTTTGAGATCGATCGACAACTCTAATCAAAACACATCCAGACGGAAGGTCGTTAAGTGTCATTGAAACAGATGGTGGTGTGCAAGAGTGTCATACGCATGAGGGCTGGTGGTCTGGAAGATATCCAGCATGCAGGCGCAGGTGACGTCCCACACCTCTGAACTGAACTTCTCCCCGTTCAGGATCACCAGGTTCTCCAGACAGTTTGTGCCTGACCGCGCCAGCTGCTCATTATCTGAGAACAGAGGCGGAGTTGCGAGTATAACACACTAACACTTTCCCTGTATTACCACACCCTGCTGATTTAAAACACTACCACCCACTGGGCCAATATGTTTCTTCAAGTGTGACATGTGTAGGCGTCACATTTGAAATGTCCATCTGGAATGAAGTACAGCAAGTAGCAGGGCAATGTCTTAAAACTCCTAAACTCTCCCTCATGATTAGCGCAACAGATTAGAGAAATCCTCACCTTGTTTCACACACCACTGCAGCTGTGCAAAAATATCCGCCAGCAGCACCTCGCTGAGAGGCTCATAGAATTGTGTGAACACATCGCAGATAGCGTAGAGGGCGTGGTTACATGTTGTTGTCATCCATTCTGTTTTCTGTAAAAGAAAAAACATCTTATTTTACCATGTGGAAGATATTTCCTATCAATATGCAAGACTTTCGATTTATCAGCCACTATAGCTAGAAGAATAACAAAGTGCCTAGCACATTCAATTTACAAATGACCGCGTCTGCTCTTAAGTTAACAATGAGGTGGATACAACTAATGGAAAAGCTAATAAAAGTTATATAAGGGGGAATATTTTTTTAATTAGATCAGATTAAATGAATCCGTTGAAAATATCAATATTTATCAAGTATATCAACTAGGAAGAATGCATTCAAATGTAATATTAACACTCAAATTAGATAATTACGCACAAAAAAAAAATTTAAAATCTACATTTATATAACCAAACTGAAAACCAAATTAATGATTAAATTGAATCGGTGAACCGTTTTTGTTCATTAAAATGAACACACTGAACCAACGGACATGAAATGAGCACTTCCCAGTGCTACTGCTCTAATAGGCATGTTAGTGAAGCATGTTTGATTATTACTTCAGCTCACTCAGTTCGAAGGCTGCATGTACAAGATAATGTGACAAAAATTGGTGATGTAACATTTTGTCTTGCTATACTGCTACTTAATGGAAAAACGTGGCCTGTTATTGGAAAAGCTGAAGTATTTTTAATACGGTTGAGCTACTATCACTTTATCAAAAATGTAGATAGGTTAGCAGCGTTGCTAAAGTTACTTTGCAACGCTGGTAGTATAAAAGTTGTGATTGATACTCACTTCAGTTTGCTGCTCTGGGAGCTTCATGTTGTCAAATATTCGGAAGATGATCCGAAAGAGGTCATGCCACCAGTGCTTCTCAAAGGTGTGTCCGTAACTCTTCATGATCTCAAACATGACAGTCAGACCCCTGCATCACACAAACACTCTCAGAATAAGCTCCAAACATCCACATCATTTCTTTGTATCAAAGTGAAGACCATAGCAGGGTTAAAGATGGGGACCCACCTGGTCCTGACATCTAGTTTGCAGCGGTTGATGATGCAGGAAAGCTCAAACAGGATGGGGAACCAGCCTCGCACCCAAACGCGGTCACCAGGGGCCACATTCATGTCATCACTAGTGTATTCCCTCAGTGCCTGGAAAAGGGAAAAGTGACTATAATGTCATTTTTGAAGCTCAGTCGTCATGGGTAACAAAAGCTGAGGTGACAGCACTCACCTGCGGCCTGTCAGACACATATTTCGCACAGTGGCGGATGAGCCGTATGGCTTCCATACTGGTGTCAGGAAATGCAGCATTACATACAAACTCTGACAAACATTTGACTGCATCCTGGAAAGAGTCGATGGCTGCAGCAAAGTGCTGCTGAAATGTATTCACTGTGAGGAAACAAAGGATAGACATGAGAATTTTGTTTTGTTTTTAAATGTTCAATATGGAAGTTTATAAAATAATGTACATTTTCCGGTACTTACTAACAATGTGTCCTGTGGTTTGAAACGCGAGGTCCACAATGTTCTCATCATGATCTGATGCTGCTTGATGGAACACAGAGAAGATGTTCTTCCAGCCAGAGCGAATATTAGCAGCCTGGGAGTTCACCATCTGGGCCACACAACGTATCACCATGTCCCGGATAGTAGGCGACCTTTAAAATGGATGAAGTTACTGCAAAAGAAACTGAAATGCATGGCTTAAAATGGAAAAATATGACTTCAGATAGGTTTCCTTGAATATTTCACCAATCAGACAAACTGATAGTTCTGCCCCAAACTTGCTATTGAATCATCTAATGTTGCTGTGTCAGACTGATTGTGTCTCTCAAACTGAGTTTTGATGGCACCACAGAGCCAGTGTTAGGGCTGCATAATTAATCAAAATAAAACTGAAATCATAAATTTATTTAAAAGGCAAAGGTTGCAATTTATTTAAAGAAACATATGTGCCGTGTAAGGTCTGCATGTGGTTTTTCCATCAAAACAAAAGTTTGATGGTTTAACGTTTGAAAATTAATTAAATATTAAATAATGGTAATTAAATATTAGTTTATGTAAATGTATTGTTGTAACTTTTTTTAAATAGTTTTTTTTCCAGTAAAATATTACAATAATCTATATAAAGTTTTTATTTAGTAATTTTTCTATTTTTTTTAGTAATAATATTATTTTAGAACCGTATTGATATATAATGACAACATTTTCACCAAATTGTCACAAACTATCACAGCATTTTAAATCACAATCTCAATTTTTTTCAGGAGGGGGAAAAAATCATGCAGTCCTAAGCCCTATGGCCTACTTACAGTTGCTTCTGCATAATCAGCTGGGATAACAAAATATTTTACCTTTGAAAACTAAGGATGCACCGAAATGAAAATTCTGGCCCGAAACCGAAAATTCTGGATGCAACTGGCCAAAACCCGAAACTGCTTTGTAATAATTATTTATTTTATTAAATAATACAAAGTAATTTTGTGAGAATTTTAATTTAACTCAATTTTAATGATACTGAATTTAAACAAAACAAGCCAATAAAATAACCACACTTTTATTGAAAGTAACACAATAAAATTGGACAGAAAGTATATTAATATTAAATATCAATATATTATTTTTATTCAGAATCAAGATACAACTTTTTTTTTGACTAATTATCCAAATAATGTATAGTCCTACAAAGCTATTATCATCAGAGTCATGTGAGCAGAGCATAGCTGGGAGCAGATCAGTGAACGAGATGGTAGCGTCATTTTACCAGCGTTGCCATGTAACAGCACAGTAGTAGTAGTAGCAAACAGGAGCAAGTATACTACATAGAAATCTCCTGTCGGCACGTTAAGTGGACTTTGCGGTTCCGGTGAGCATGAGTGGTACATGAGTGGAGAGTTTGCATAGGCTGTGAGCAACTCAACAGAATGCACATTCATAGAGCGGAGCATCATGACACAGCTAGAGGGAGAGTGAAACCTGCGTGCTGAACACTGCAGGGCGGTGTGGCGCACCGTTTATTTACAGCTCATATTTTCGGCCTTTTTTTCCTCTTTTGGCCAAAAACCGAAATGCCATTTTCGGTGGCGGAAATTTCTGTGCATCCCTACTGAAAATTACACACTCCACCAGTGTTTAAAGTTAACATGTTTCAGCATGCTACAGCAATTTGCCTCATTTCTTTATCTTTTCAATCATTCACATTTATAACTCTCCTTTCCTCACCTGTTCTTCTTCATGATGTGTTCAAATGGCCTTAAAAAGTCCTTCTGGAAGCGGAAATTGGCCAGTTCTCCTTTCTCCAGAAACTTCATAGAAAGTTGTCTCAGGGAGTCCACAGCAAAGATGGCCACATCCTCATTAGGATTACAACCCACCTGCCAAACCAGACATAAAACACAATCAGACAGCCATTTTACTGATTATCTTATCTAGAAAAAAACATTTCACTGGCACCTTGAAGGTGCGGTCACATTAGCAAAATTTTGCATGCAAAAAAAGGTCAACACAGCGAATCAGAGTGGCCAAACTGAACAACCTGATGCAAAATTCACAACAAATATTCACAGAACAGCAGTAAATATGACTGCACCTTTAGGTAAGGCTACAGACCTTGTTGAAGTGATCTCCAATGACCTGCCAAATGCGTGACCACTGCAAACGGATGCGGTTCATGTTGTAGTAGGAGATCTCCACTATCTTCTGCAGACTGAACATGCGCGGCTGGTGAGCAGAGGCCAGCTCATCCATGGACACCGCACAGAGCCAACGCACAAAGTCCACTGGAGATAGAGCAGAGTTTACAATTAACACAAATCTCACTGACATTTTGTCCCCAGATACAATATCTACAAAAACCCATAATCTAGCACAGCTTTATTATTGGCTGAATGTAAAATAAATACAACTATTTCAGTCCAAAAAAAACAACAACTGTGAACTTGGCAACCCTGTTTAACAGAGATCCAGAAGCAATTCTGACTGAACAACCCCATCACTTGTAAGTCACTTCCTTATGATATAATGGACCAAATGAATGAATAGACTATGAGAAAAAACCCAAGCTATGGTGAAAAGGATAATAGCATGGACACCCACTTACACACTAAAAACATAAAACTGATTTTCCGTTGCTCATGGAGCTAACGATATGTTAAGAATGCAGCTGTTCCTGTTAATTTCTTAGTAAATACAACCAAAACTGACTCAAGTTTACGTGAGTAGAATTAAAAGTATATTTTTCCACATAATCAACCCACACATATGCTCTCAAAATAGTGTTGGGTTATTAACTTACTACATGTAGTGACGCAAATAACCTAGCTACACTTCTCAGTTGCGTGACAGCAGCTCAATTGTTTTCAAAATAGTGTTGCTTTCCAGTAACAAGCTATTTTTTCCCAATGAGTAATGCTGTAGCGTGACGCAAACTTTTATTTCACATTGTATAGTGCATATATAAGGACTACCAACAGTTTGATTTGTGAAACATGTAAACTTTCATCCTTGTAGTAGCAGTAGTCCTTATTTAGCAACACAACTGCTTCAAAAGTCACATTAAGGGTTTGACTATGTAACTACTGTGGTAGAACAAAACGTTATCATATAATATTACATATAGACCTTATTTTGTACATAAACTCAAAACTGCTACTTTAAAAACCATTTAATTCCTGAGGGAATCAATGCTAATTATTTTCCATGTTTTACAACTACAAACTGAACCGCTTTATAAATCAAACCCCTAGCATTTTCTCGCTCTCATTTGCAGCACTGGGGAACATTGATCACCATGTTTTCTAATGAAATTAGAGCATTTTAAATAAATGTCAATTTATTTGTTCAAGTTTGTGCTCTCACAATTTTATCACAAAATAGCTAATTGAGACCCTCATTGATTTTTGTGCTAATAATAAATAAATTATATCATCTGATAGTTACACTATCGTTCAAAGGTTTGGTGTCAGTAAGATTTTTTTTAAAATAAACCAATACTTATTCAGCAAGAATGCATGAAATTGATCAAAAGTGACAGTAAAAACATCAAACATTTCTTTTTAAAATAAATGCTGTTCTTTTGAACTTGCTATTCATCAAAAAATCCTAAACAAATGCATCAGTTTACAGCATAACTGTTAATAATAAATGTTTCTTGAGCAGCAAATCATCATATTAGAATGACTTCTGAAGGATTATGTGACACTGAAGACTGGAGTATTGATGCTGAAAATTCAGCTTGGCCATCAGAGGAATAAATTACATTTCAAATTATACTAATAGAAAAGTTACTTTAAATTGTAACAATATTTCATAATATTACTTTAGTGAGTATAAGAGACTTTCAACAATATAAAAATAAGTAAATAAACAACTCACCAACCACATACCTTTGAACGGTAGTGTATATATTTAAAGGGGTGGTTGATTGCGATTTCACTTTTTTAACGTTAGTGTGTAATGTTGCTGTTTGAGCATAAACAATATCTGCAAAGTTACGAAGCTGAAAGTTCAATGCAAACGGAGATATAGTCTTAAAATTCTGGCAGTTTAATGCCTACACAAATGGCTTGTAGGGACTACGATAAGTTACTTCCCGGGTTCGTGACATCACAAACACAGATAACCAGATATAGATATAAATATAGATATATAATAAATATAAAACCAGATATAAAAGGCAGCAAAGGGGGCAAGCCATGCTGCGCTGCTTTAGAGAAGAGGAAGAGAAAACTAGAGGTGCACGTAAATATCTATATATATGAATCGCGATTCAGTCTTCTAACGATTCTAATGGATTCACAAGTTTCAAAATCAATGTTCTAAAGCAGCTGTTTGTAATACTGTTCCTCACGTCCCCCTGCTCTGCATCTCTCTCTCTCTCTCATTCAGCTCAGCTCCAACAATGAACGGTTCCATTTATACACTTATTTTCACATAGCTATGAGAAGCGTTAAACAGGTGCCATACTGTATTAAAGCTTTAATCAGGATAAAACCGTATATTAAAAGCTAACATAAGCAGTAGCATTTACAAATAACAGCGTATCTAAAAGTATGAGATAACAAACAAAAAACTTAGGCCTACCATTAAAAGCCGTGCTTGCACAGGTTCTACACAATCCTCTTCAATAATATCCTCTTGCTTCTCAATCGGGCTCAAACTGATAAGCAATATTAACGACGCCGTTGTTTACAATACAACCGCCGCCGAGGTGAGGGGCAGGACATTTAGACACCCACTAGATGCGGTTTAGACAATCACAACACACTGGGCTAGCTAACCAATCAGAGCCCATCGCCTATTTCTGAGCGAGGGGCTTCATGTAAGCAGGAAATGATCAGCACGTTTCTCAGAGAAGGGACAGAGCGGTGTGGAATAAAGGTAAATTATGTGAAAAATAATGCGGGTTTTTTTTTTTTTAAACAAAGCATTAACACATTAGACTGCACCCCATAAACACAATCAAGCCTAGAAAAAAAACAGTGAACCATCCCTTTAAAATATATTACCCCCTTAAAAAATGTAATGCCAATGTTGTTACATTAAAACAAAAACCCTACCAATTGCATTTCCATCAAGCTTGGTGGATCCAGTGAAGATTCTGGCACACAAAACAGAGACGGAAGGTCAGACAAGGAAACATAAACAGCGATGTTTGTATGTTTGTATTGTCGTGTGATTTCAATGCACCTGTCTACAGCCACCACAACACTCTGAGAGCTGGTCTCCCCCACTGACTCCTGGATATGAGCCATCTGACGCTTGTCTGGACCTCCAACCAGAGTACCTGCAGGAGACCAATAATATTGTTTTGCTCCATAAGAACATCGTCCACACACACCAATAAACAAACAATAAACAGGCTGAAAACTTCGGCCCCATCCATGAGCTATTAACTGCAGTCGGTACAATGGCTTACCTAAGCCGAGGGGCATGAATTCCTCTCCCCCTGATGGGAAGCCCTTTATGCTGCCTCCCTGGTCCCGGACCACACCGGAGATATAACGCGTCTTCACCCCTGTCCCAATCAACTGGGCCAACTCCAGCTGACTGATACACCTCAGAATCTAAACAAAGAGCAGGCAGATATGTTGAGGCTGGAAACAAACTTTAGCAGATCAATAGTTTGAGGAGAGCAGGGGTTTATGCCCCTGCATAGAGTAAAGTTGCATGACTTTGCAGGGCTCAACAAAATGACCTGCTGGTCTGGGGTGAGTCTGAAAGTGTTTTAGACCAGTTTTCTATTAAAAATTATTCATTTCTGTTGCAAATTCTGCTGATTTGTCACTAAAGATTATACTGTCTAGCTAGATAAAATATTTTTGGAAAACCAGGAGTGGATTTGGAGTAATTACAGCACACTTTGAAGAGATTGCTGACATTATGCTCAACTCCATTTACATGCTCTGATGCCCACCTCATGCCAGGAGTTGCCCAAGTAGTTTCCATCGGTGTGGGCGACCATGATGAGAGTCTTTATGGTGTCAATGTTCTTCTGCTTCATCTCTGTGATACTTGAGCTGGCTGTTAGCAGCGTAAACCGGGCCAAGGCCTGGATGTAGGCATCTCTCTCCAACTGAAAAAAGAGTGATATAGAGAAGAAAATAAGACCAGAAAGAACTAAATTAAATGGTATGATTTACCATATGAAATGTGTATAAACACAAACCTGCATGTTGAAGATGCAGGCGATCCTGATAGCACATCGGATCCCCTCCAGACAAAGAGATGCCACATCCTGATCGTCACAATCCTGGAGTCCTACACTGAACGCCGCCAACAGAGGAGTCCAGGCCAGCTGTTTTACATAGATCAAAACACATAAACATACATACTGAGAAATGAACACACACACAAAACATACTTTCAGAGTTTAATTTCCTTTTGACCTTTTTGTAGACTGATGTGTGAAACCACATCCTGGAACAGTATCAGATCATATCATCTCCTCCATGACCTGCTCATGATCCTTTTGACCTAACAATGACTTTCTGTTCCAATACTCAATAGCATGGAGCTGTTAAGACGTGGTTTATTGGACATCTGGCATTACCTTGAACATTGGCCGGACGTGCTCTAGGTGAGTGGCACTGAAGAAGGGAGCCTGAGCGTGACTTACAGCCTCCATCAGAGCTTTAGCCGTTTTGGCCATCTGCTCCATCTCCATGTTATACAGCAGCCTTCTCTGCTTCTCATTGGCTACATCTAACAGGAGGACAAATAGCTCATGTCAGCATTCAACAGGGTTTTATTCAATTCCATCAAAGGAAATTACACAGGTATTTTGTTGAGAGGCTCTTACTCGGTTTACTAGATTTGGGAGTGATGGAGTATTCTTTGCTCTCTTTCATGGCAATCTTCTTGCCTGCAATTTCATCGTAGATGGAGGAGAGATACTCCATGGGCAGGTCTTTACTGTCATTAATACCACGGTTCATTTTTATGTACTGCTCCTTCGTCATCTTGTTCTTCACCTGAAGAGAAGAGAAAACAAAACTAGATTTTTACATTTTACCGAAGGAAAAACAAGCATGCTTTTTTTTAGCAGTTGCAAAAAGTTGCTAGGGTGTTCTGGATGGTTGCGGGAGTGTGGTTTTGCAGTTGCCAAGGTTCTGGTTAGTTGCCAAGGTGTCTTAGTAAGTACAAAGCAAAGCAAAGGAAGAGAAGGGAGACAGTGAGTAAACAATAAGTAGTCTTTACCTGTGGACTGTGTAGGTCGGTGGTTAACATGATGATGGAGTAGGCCAGAACGTAAGCAGTGTCTGCGCTGGCAAACAGAGTCTGCCTACAGAACAACAGACAGGTCAGCACAAACACAAACCCCAGCAAGCTTAACAAATATAAAACTCTTTCACAGACTGCAAAACTCACCCCTGATTGCACTCCAGGTAGCGGGCGGCAAACTTCTCCATGAGCCTATCGATTTTCTGGGCTTCACCCGGAAGCCTGAAGCCTTCCAGGAAGGCACGGAGAGCTGACACAAAGTCTTTGCCACAAAAGTCCAGCCGGTCCACGTAGCAGTACATCGCCTCTTTATTAAACTTCACATTCTCTCCCAGGAACTCACCAACTTGAGTCTGATGACATGACACAACAGAGCCTACAGTAGTACAAAATGTCTTGGTTTACTAATTTATCCATGTCTGAAAACAAGCATGAACTTACCGTGTCCAGTCGCTCCTCCTGTTGCAGGAACTGTGCGATATCCTCTGGTGAGGTGCCCAGCATGCCTTGCTCCTGCAGGTATTGCAGCCCCCTTTTTGGTTTCTTGTTAAATCTTTAAGAAACACAGAAATGGTCAAAGCAACACATGGAAAAGAAAACAAAGAAACTTAAAAAAAAAAAAAAGAAAAGAAAACTTACAGCTCAATGCCATGCTCAATGATCTCTTTCTGCTGCTTGATGACCTCATACTGCTCAGGGTGATCTGGCTGAGACTGCTGAACTCCAGATGACACAGTGGAGTCCATAGAGCTCACACTATCTCTGCGAGAGGAAAGATGCTCCTGGAGCTTCCCATCCGCACTGTCACCCTCTGCTGGACGTTCCTGACCTACAACGCAACACAGTCTAGACTTAGAAAATTCTGATGATGCAGATGTTTAAAACACCTCAGTGCTGTCTTACCAAGGTTGGCCTGCAGATTGGGGTTGATGTACATGTCTCTGCTCCATTCCACCATGCACTTCAAAATGGACACCAGACACTCCAGCCCTTTCTTTCTCAAACTCAGCTCCTGCAAATGAATCATTAACCAATCAACACAGTGCAGTTTGAGAAGATTTTCACTGCAGTGAATCATGCACTAGTTTTTACTGGAGAGGTTTGTGCTGTTCTGGAATTATTTTTAAAATGTAGTATTGTGGCATTGCTAATATTGTCGGCTCCTTATGATTAATCACTTCATCTTTTTATATTTTAATAAAAAGATGAAAAAATAAAAAAATACTTATTTTAATATATTTTTTACCGCATTTGAATTAATTTTAAAATAAATTATCGGTTTTAAAAAAAAATCTAAATTATATGACATACTGAGATATCGATAACATGCAACCAGTTAAAAAGAGATGTTTGTACTCTTCTGGTTCATTTCTGAAATGTTTTTTTGGCATTGCTAATATTGTTGTCTTTTTTAATGATTAATTACTTGTGTTGATATTTTTACCTTATTTAAGTTGTTTCAGATCAAAGAATCCTTTAAATGAAATCTAAATTTTATGGCATATGCTGTATTATGTACATTTAAACTTAATAACATGCCATGTAAAGTATCCTAATGTTGTAGTTCAAACATGACGATAGCCACCTGTAATGGAGTCATGCCCAGCTCCTGTCCACTCCTTCCCTGGGCGATTTTAGACAGGTCATTTACCAGCCGCTCATAAATGTTGGCAGCGTTGAGATCACAGTCATAGTTCACATAAATGTCCACCACACATTGTGCATCTGTGAGAAGAGCAGCAGACTGATTCACAAATGGGTTTGACATTTGAACCAATAATGTGCGAGACATTTGTGTGTATGTGTCCATGTTGTGTGCAAGTGTACACTGAGGTGCACCAACCCGCACATATTCGCGTTAGAGTCTGAATGACCATCCACTTATGCTCAAAGGAGCTGGATGTCGTCTCCAGGATTGTTAGAAAGATCTCCCTGAAGAACACCTAAAGGAAAAGAGACAAAAATAAATAAATAAATAAAAGAGGAAACGAAAATTAAGAAATAACATTTTAGTTTGTTTTTTTTTTCACGTAGAAACAATTTGTTTGTAAAACTAATTTCATACATTTAAGCACATCTACATTTTGAGATCAAAGGTTTTAAAGATCATGCGAAACAATTTTATTAAAGTGTGTACAAACAGCCTGACAGCGTATCTGATATTTTTTACCTCAATCTGCATCTTAAGGTGCACTTTGAAGTGGGAGAGCAGGGTAAGGAAGATGGCAAGAGACAGCTCAAATACTTCAGGCACAGAGGAGACCCCGTTTTTGGAGAGCGCCACACACAGGTACTGTTTGATGGCATTCACAAACATCTCATGGGTTCGGAACACAGGTCCAGCACCCTGCAGCACTGATAGCAACAGCTGCAAGGAAACCACCTTAGAGCGCAACTCATGGGACCTGAAAGAGAGGGGATGGAAAAATGACAGCAGCATGAAACTGAATACTTTTCCAAATAATGGCAAATTAATTCAAAATTGTTCTACAGGGAGTGTAGACAGAAACAGAGCACTCAGATCTCCACCAGCAACATCTCAGTTTTTATGATCACACTATAGACACAATTTATCTAATATGTGACCCTGGACCACAAAACCAGTCTTAAGTCGCTGGGGTATATTTGTAGCAATAGCCAAAATTACATTGTATGGGTCAAAATTATAGATTTTTCTTTTATGCCATAAAATCACTAGGATATTAAGTAAAGACCGTGTTCCATGAAGATATTTTGTAAATTTCCTACTGTAAATATATTAAAACTTAATTTTTGATTAGTAATATGCATTGCTAAGAACTTCATTTGGACAACTTTAAAGGCAATTTTCTCAATATTTTGATTTTTTTGCACCCTCAGATTCCAGATATTCGAATAGTTGTATCTCGACCAAATATTGTCCTATCATAACAAACCATACATCAATGGAAAGATTATTTATTCAGCTTTCATGTACATTGAGATGTACAAATCTCAATTTTAAAAAATTTACCCTTATGACTGGTTTTGTGGTCCAGGGTCACATATTTCATCTACTGTAAATAAATGTCCTCTCCAGGTTCTTACTTTGGGTCGGGTGGTCCATCAGCCAGGGGCTTCATGGAAAGCTTGCAGAGGGAGCGGAATACAAGGAAGGCATCTTTCTGTAGGATGTGCGAAAAGCGTGCAGCTGTCTGATTGCCCTGAATGGTTTCTGCATCCTGTTCAGTAAACAAACAAAATAACAGTTAGACCACAATAAAAAAAGGCTTTATGGACAATGTCTTTACACACTTATGTTTAAAAGTTTGGGATCTATAAGATTTGTTAATGTTTTTGAAGTCTTTTTCTTTTTGTTGTTATTTTTAATAACAACATTGAAAACAGTTGTACTGCTTATTAATAATTTTCTGAAAACCGTGATACTTTTTTCAGTATTTTTTGATCAATAGAAAGTTTAAAAGAACAGCATTTAATGTCTTTACTGTCTCTTTTGCTCAATTTAATCACTTTACTTAGCTGAATAAGAGTATTAGAAGAAAAAAAAGACTGACCCCACACTTTTGAACGGTCCTGTATGTCTTATTAAACAAATGAAAAACACACCAGAATGTCTATGGAGGACTCTGAGCCACGGTCATCCACCATTCCGTTCATCTGCTGTGTGTCGACTCGAACAACAGGGGGCGGCACTTTGGTTTCGGAGTCAGAATGTTGCTCTAAGCCTGTTGTAGAAACAGAGGCAGGAGTGACTACTACTTCATAGGTCCCCATAAAGCTACAGTCAACTATTTCCAGTGTGACGCACCTCCTTCCACAGAGCTATCTCCCAATCCACTGTCCGGCTCAGTCTCTTCCTGAAACTCAGTGCCTGCTTCTGTCTCAGGCTGTGCTCGAACAACAGGGGGCGGCACTTTGGTTTCGGAGTCAGAATGTTGATCTAAGCCTGTTGTAGAAACAGAGGCAGGAGTGACTACTACTTCATAGGTCCCCATAAAGCTACAGTCAACTATTTCCAGTGTGACGCACCTCCTTCCACAGAGCTATCTCCCAATCCACTGTCCGGCTCAGTCTCTTCCTGAAACTCAGTGCCTGCTTCTGTCTCAGGCTGTAGATGGACCTCCTCTCCCTCAACATCTCTTGCCACTGATGAAGTCGTCTGGTTTGACTCCTGAATCTCTTCTTCTTTAAGAACAGTCAAATTAAAAACAGAATCAACTACCCAAATAAAGTGCATCAAAACAGCTTTCTAAAACAACTGGAAATTGCCAGAACCTTACAATTTGGAGTCATTTCTCATATATCACGACAGCAGTGATTCCCTGTACCTGGCTGTTCAATTTCCTTTGTGCTCCGTTTATCAGTAGCAAACTCCTCCTCTGACTTGGACTCTTCTGGCTGGCCATTGATGGAGGATGAGTCTTGGGGGGTGGAAGGAGTGGAGGGGACCCCAGGGGGGCTGAGTGAGGGGGATGGGGGTCCGTTCTGTTCGGAGCGGGCTTGTCCGAGCCATGGTGACCCAGACCCCCGACCAGGAGTTGGGGAAGGATTCTGGGCTACAGGAGAAGGGTTACTGGATACTGGAGAAGGATTGTGCAGCTGCAGACATTGTCTGTCCTTCTCTGCTTCCTGAGCTTCCAGAGCCTACAAGAGAGCCATAAAATCAAACCTAGTTTCCCAGTTTTAGTCTAATTTTCTAAACCATAATGTCGCCCCAAGTTCTACTAGGGTGACACATCACATCCAAATAGAGGCAGTTGGAGATGCTATATACTAACCGCCTGGTTCTCCATACGGGTGAAGATGACATTGAGCATCTGTGTGAGAGTGGCCTTGGCTGTGGTCTGGTTGATCAGGTTGCGGCTGGCCAGGTAGATGTTGTAGCAGGTGCGGACAGTGAGGAGAATCGTTCCCTCGTGAATCTCTATGTGTGGTGATGTCACAGCAGTCAGCAGAGCCTGTAGAGCAACACAATGCATTATTAAATCACAGATAATGCCAATTTATTCGAATACAGTGAGGTCCAAAAATCGGACCACAAAAAAAAACAAAAAACTTTTTTTAGGATTTCAAAAAATAAAATTCTACACTATTTTTGTATAATTCTACAATATTTCTAGGTCAGCTTATTAAATGAGTAAATTTGTGACACTGATCATGTGACTGTGCAGACAGTCAGATTTTCTTCTTCCCTTGAAGCTCAAGATGCTCTTTGGATTAATCTCAAATCATTGGTTTTACACAAACTTTTTAAGTTCAGGCATTTTGAGTTCTGCTGCCATTAAAGTTACAAAGGGACAACCCAATTACTAAGACATTTTCACTTAAATTATAATTTTAAGAAAATGCATTTTAAAAACCCACTGAGACAAAAGTGTTTCAGATACAATGATAAGTTTGAAGAAGGATTGAAGAATTATGCAGGTAATTAATGACATTGATGAAAACAAGACCTTTAATAGGTGGCTTTCTCAGATAATCATGTAGCAACACAATGCATTATTAAATCACAGATAATGCCAATTTATTCGAATACAGTGAGGTCCAAAAATCGGACCACAAAAAAAACAAAAAACTTTTTTTAGGATTTCAAAAAATAAAATATTCTACACTATTTTTGTATAATTCTACAATATTTCTAGGTCAGCTTATTAAATGAGTAAATTTGTGACACTGAACATGTGACTGTGCAGACAGTTAGATTTTCTTCTTCCCTTGAAGCTCAAGATGCTCTTTGGATTCATCTCAAATCATTGGTTTTACACAAACTTTTTAAGTCCAGGCATTTTGAGTTCTGCTGCCATTAAAGTTACAAAGGGACAACCCAATTACTAAGACATTTTCACTTAAATTATAATTTTAAGAAAATGCATTTTAAAAACCCACTGAGACAAAAGTGTTTCAGATACAATGATAAGTTTAAGGCTTGAAGAATTATGCAGGTAATTAATGACATTGATGAAAACAAGACCTTTAATAGGTGGCTTTCTCAGATAATCATGCGATCTTATGTACACATCTTGGTGGTAAAACTGCCCTTATGCAAACCACTACTCTCTATGTACTGCTGCATTTTCTCTCCATTTATAGACAACCGAATACTAGTAAATCTTTCACACATCATGCTCATCTAAAATGATAAGTGTTAGGCTTGGATCAAAGAAAAGACTTTGTACTTTAATGCTCAGCTTATCAAATGGTGTAAGGTAATCATGGTGTTGTCAACTTATATGATCGTTTAGTTAACTAAATTTCCTCAGTGTGTTGACGATTGGTGCTCTATACAGAAGCAGCTTTGATTACTTTGGCATGAGCTCCAATGCAGTGACCAGGTGAACTTACTGCAAGGTCAAAAAGAGATGTTTTATGAATGATGAAACTATGAATTCATACTATATTGCAACTTTTCTTCCCCCAAAAAATTTGATTAAAATAATTAAAACCAATGTAAATTTTCTTTAAGTAAATTTAGTGAATGCTTTTCTTCCCCCAAAAAATTTGATTAAAATAATTAAAACCAATGTAAATTTTCTTTAAGTAAATTTAGTGAATGTTAAAAAAAAAAAAAATTATTCATTTAATATATAATATATTGTAATGTTTTTGAAAGAAGTCTGTGATGCTCACCAAGGCTGCATTTATTTGATCAAAGATACAGTAAAAACAGTAACATTGTGAAATATTATTACAATTTAATTAAGAGATTTAGATTTTAATATATTTTATTCTATAAATAATTATTGTAATGGCAAAACTGAATTAAAGATAAAATTAAATGAATTGCTAATTACTACATTGAAATAAAAATGTAAAGCCTGTACAAATATAGAAATCGTGAATATAAATAATTGGGAATCATGTAAAATATTAAAATAAAATAAAAACAGTGCACATTTAATTGATGTGTTATAACATTTATGTAGTTTTGTTCGCTTGGCTGTTTCCTTATTAAGTTTTTCCAGCAGGTGTCTTTTTTAATTATATGATCTCATTACGTTGCTGTCTTGCCGCCAGCCAATCGCTGCACTGCTGATCGTGGTTTCGAGTATCGATACATAGCCCCTTTTAAACCAACCCATGAACGCGCAATTATCTCCAATAACTCAATCCAGCCATACTAATCATCAACAACAGCTGCGTTCGAAGAACCGAATTAGCCAGATCCTGATTAGCGCGATGATATCATCTGGGATGTTACATTTCATCTCGGATGTAATAAGCGACGTACGAAGAACGGGCCCCTGGTGCTCAAGAAACATTTATTATTATTAATGTTGAAAACCGTTGTGCTGCTTAATATTTTTGTGGATTCTTTGATGAACAGAAAAACAGCATTTATTTAAAACAGACATTTTTGTATCATTATAAATGTCTTTATAATATAACATTGTGTATATTGTATAATATATATATATATATTGCATAACCGTATATAATGTAACATTATTTGTTACACTATAATGTAACGTTATAAATGTCTTTGTCACAGATTTAAAGCATCATGTGCTAATATCCTTGCTGAATAAACTAAAAAAAAAAAAATAAATAAAAACTTACCCCAAACTTCTGTACAGTGGTGTATGTATGTAATTTATTGTATTACATATATTTGCATTACATCAACCATCAAATATGAATTTCAATATCAAGAAATGCCTGTCTCAAAAATGAACTGGTATGATGGAGAGTTGTTTACCTTAATGATCTGTAGCTGTACCCCCTCATCAGTCTGGGGTCCCTGAAAGCAGTTACAGTGGGTCTCCACCAGCCGGTCAATTAGCCGTTTTCCTGGAGCTCCGCTGTCAGGGGCGTTCCCTGTGACGTGCCCATACGCAATGAGTTTCTGTGATGAATAAAAGAGAGGTCAGTGAGAAAATGTATGAGCGGAATGATTAAATGAATTTAAATATTAAAACTAGTGAACTGCAATTTACATAACGGGAATGAACTAGACCGACTGTAATTGTTCAAGTAATGAAATCCAGCATCCGGGATCAATGTCTGAAACTAAAATAGATCCATTTGTTCAGACAGTGTACTATCTGAAATATCTACATTATTTGCAGTAGTAATGATGGGACGTTTGCAACGTACGCAATGGAGGTATTACAGTGTAATACACGTTCATTAATGCAGTGCTACCACCGCTACTTTATTACAAGAGTACCCTACTAATCCAGGGACAATAATTTAAAATAATAATCATTTAAAAATTAATTTAAAGATAATATAATAATGTTGTGTAGTCTTTAATACTACAGACACAGACAGTTTTACTCAATCAAGAGATTTATTCGTCATAAAATTATTACTTCATAATTACTTCAATTATTACTTGTATTCGAGTCTTACACACATGCTATACAGATAATGTAGTCGTGCATTAATTTGAGTGGTGACAGATATTATGGGAGTGGCTTGATGGAGCGCAGGAGATGCAGATAACATGATCTTGACCCTTAAGAAACTTTAATTACTTCTTTCAAATAACAAATCTGCTTCAAAGATAAAATTAAATGAATTGCTAATTACTACATTGAAATAAAAATGTAAAGCCTGTACAAATATAGAAATCGTGAATATAAATAATTGGGAATCATGTAAAATATTAAAATAAAATAAAAACAGTGCACATTTAATTGATGTGTTATAACATTTATGTAGTTTTGTTCGCTTGGCTGTTTCCTTATTAAGTTTTTCCAGCAGGTGTCTTTTTTAATTATATGATCTCATTACGTTGCTGTCTTGCCGCCAGCCAATCGCTGCACTGCTGATCGTGGTTTCGAGTATCGATACATAGCCCCTTTTAAACCAACCCATGAACGCGCAATTATCTCCAATAACTCAATCCAGCCATACTAATCATCAACAACAGCTGCGTTCGAAGAACCGAATTAGCCAGATCCTGATTAGCGCGATGATATCATCTGGGATGTTACATTTCATCTCGGATGTAATAAGCGACGTACGAAGAACGGGCCCCTGGTGCTCAAGAAACATTTATTATTATTAATGTTGAAAACCGTTGTGCTGCTTAATATTTTTGTGGATTCTTTGATGAACAGAAAAACAGCATTTATTTAAAACAGACATTTTTGTATCATTATAAATGTCTTTATAATATAACATTGTGTATATTGTATAATATATATATATATATTGCATAACCGTATATAATGTAACATTATTTGTTACACTATAATGTAACGTTATAAATGTCTTTGTCACAGATTTAAAGCATCATGTGCTAATATCCTTGCTGAATAAACTAAAAAAAAATAAATAAATAAAAACTTACCCCAAACTTCTGTACAGTGGTGTATGTATGTAATTTATTGTATTACATATATTTGCATTACATCAACCATCAAATATGAATTTCAATATCAAGAAATGCCTGTCTCAAAAATGAACTGGTATGATGGAGAGTTGTTTACCTTAATGATCTGTAGCTGTACCCCCTCATCAGTCTGGGGTCCCTGAAAGCAGTTACAGATGGTCTCCACCAGCCGGTCAATTAGCCGTTTTCCTGGAGCTCCGCTGTCAGGGGCGTTCCCTGTGACGTGCCCATACGCAATGAGTTTCTGTGATGAATAAAAGAGAGGTCAGTGAGAAAATGTATGAGCGGAATGATTAAATGAATTTAAATATTAAAACTAGTGAACTGCAATTTACATAACGGGAATGAACTAGACCGACTGTAATTGTTCAAGTAATGAAATCCAGCATCCGGGATCAATGTCTGAAACTAAAATAGATCCATTTGTTCAGACAGTGTACTATCTGAAATATCTACATTATTTGCAGTAGTAATGATGGGACGTTTGCAACGTACGCAATGGAGGTATTACAGTGTAATACACGTTCATTAATGCAGTGTGTTTGAATTAATTCAATATTCATAACTATCAGGTTTGTATAAGCTTCATGATCTTAGTGATTTCACAAACGGTTTTCCTTGCAGACTACAAACAAATAAATTAGTCACACGTGCAAAAAAACCTCCTATTTACAAGGATTAAAAAATAAAGACAAGTTTTAAAACAAGTGTTTTAAATGTATTAAAGGTGCCATAGAATGGAAAACTGTATTTACCTTGGCATAGTTGAATAATAACAGTTCTGTACTAGGAAATGACATACCGTGAGCCTCAAACACCATTGTTTTCCTCCTCCTTATGTAAACCTTGTGCATGCAAAAGACCACTGAAAAATAGGTGAATCAGAACATAACACCAACTGTGACGTTACAGTCGGGATCACTAATAGTTACGCCCCCAACATTTGCATATACCCGCCCATGTTCTATGCTAGCCAGCCGCCAGCCGAACCTGCACAGCCGAATCATCAGAAGTTCTGCAGGTATTGTGAAGAAACAAGCGAGGATAATAGCGAAAATGGCAGATCATGGAAATAAATGTTATGTTACAGGCTGTTGAAGGGATGTGATGTACAGGGATGGGTCGGTGTCTGTATTCAGAAAGGCACGGAGAACAAATAACGCGCGTTCTACTAAAATAACGCGAGCCACTAAAGGGACATGTTAGCTGCTTGCTAGCGGTAGCCTGTTACATTACAGTACATAGATATCAGAGAACAATTTAAAATATTGTATCAATGCATTCTATGGCACCTTTAATGTTGAGTAAGATGAAACACTGCAGTAGAGTGAGGAGAATGAGAACGCTGCGTACCTGTAAGCAGTCGAGAGACGTACTGACAATACGAGGAGACTTGGACTGACATGCCAGCTCGAAAGGCAGGACGTACTTGTCAGCCTCAATGTAGTTAGCTCTGGGAGGAACAATAGTGCCATCCCTGGCACATACAAGATTCACAGCACAGGTCAGTCAGCGGGAATAACCATGCAGCACTGAAACATACTTCATTCACTGAATGTTACACCATATTAAACAAGAACAAACATTTATTTTTTAACATCTTCATGTCAGTAGCCCTTTAACATTACTGGGGGCCTTTTGTTCAGCATGGACATCAATGAGACCAGGACCCTAAATTATTACATAACCATGATGGTTCAGAATGAAGATGATTTAGCCTTTTCATAACACAATAAGCATTCTCTTAATGTTACATCAATGTAGATCACAGGAGACTTTTGCATGGTTGGTGCATGTTGGTATGAAAACTTACTTCTGCTTTTCCAGTTCATGCTTGATTTCATCTAAAAAAAATAAATAAAAAAAAAGAGCGAGAGAGAGAGAGAAAGAGAGAGACAAATTAACACATGAATCAACTCATGTCTATTTGTCACACCTCTCTCAAAGCGGAGAGAGCGCTAATTCAGAAAACTACTAAATGTCTTAGTATTTACATTTACATTAGGGTATTCGAGTATTAGGCTGTCTATTTTAATTCTACTTTATCTGTATTTATCTTCAACAAAAAACAAACAAACACTAGCTTTCTATTTTTTCTATTCTATCTACTTGTTTTTCTTTATGCACATTATGTGTATATGTGTGTGTGTGTATATATACAGTGGGTACGGAAAGTATTCAGACCTGAATACTTTCCGTACCCACTGTATATATATATATATATATACACCTTGCTACGAGTACTGCGTTAGGCTAACCGAGACTTGTCATTTGCACTTATATATTGTTGCTCTTTTGTTAGTTTTGACTGCTTTTATTGTCCTCATTTGTAAGTCGCTTTGGATAAAAGCGTCTGCTAAATGACTAAATGTAAATGTATTCAGCAATGTCTATTTCAATGACAAGCTGCACAAAGCCACATTCACATATGATCGTGGTTTTGTGCAGCTTGTCAGTTAACAACGGCTCTGTGTAGTAAATGCTGCTCCATGTGAAAGCACGCACGTGATGGAGATTTACCGCTGATTACAGAACCGCCTTTACTGACAAGATGCACATAAATATGCGATTTATCAAGCAGCCCTAGTCAGAAAGCTCTCGAATTTCATAAAAAATATCTTAATTTGTGTTCCGAAGATGAACAAAGGTCTTACGGGTTTGGAACAACATGAGGGTGAGTAATTAATGACCGAATTTTCATTTTTTGGTGAAATATCCCTTTAAATGGGATGAAGAGTCAAAACCTCTCGGTGAAGATTCCTTTAAACACCACCACTACAAATCTTAAACTCACTTGCCAACATCACTAATCACCTAGTTGGTTGTTAAATGGTTAGTCAATTATCCAAGCCCATCCAAAGTCCAATTTGTAAATAAATTGTTCTTTTGTGCTGCGTCTTTTCAATGAATCCGTCGATATGGTTTACAAGACAGGTCTGAATGATTCATTCATGATTTGGACAGATCTAGTTGTTGATTCAGTGATCCCAGCGGTTAACAGCTCACTGAGGAGGAAAATTATCAGCGAATAACAGCTTAGATTTCTCACACAAAACGATCACTTTCGAATACCAGGAAAACCACAACCAATTACATTCTTCAAAAATTTCAACCCGTTCTGTCTTCCACAGAAGAAAGTAAGCCATACAGAAAAAAACATGAGAGTGAATAAATCACAATTTTCAGTTCTGGGAGAACTATTTCTTTAAAATAAACAAGGTTACTGGGATGAGTGACATATTTGTACAGTTTTTGGTGCCTCTGAAGAACAATCAAAAATGGATCCTCCTTATTCATTATCAGACAGTTATCTGGTACAGGAAACTGAGCTTAAGCAACAACACATTTCATAAAATTGCCAACATTTCATGAACTATATATTTAGAAATATGTATCTGGCTACCTGTGATACTCAAAAGTGTTACATGTATCCAGGCAGCACAACATAAGAACACTAACTGAATAGTTCAACTCTACCTAAGCCATTGCCTAGCAGTGAATCCGGGTGGCCAGTGGACTGTGTAAATAGGTCTGTATGTTAATCAGCCTCATTCACTCACATGGCAGGTAAATGAGGGAGTGTCTGTTTGAATGACGTGCTTCAGAGAGCATTCAAACAAACGCACTAGGAAGTAGCATTACATTAACAGCCAAATGGTTGAGCACTACAACTCTTCACCGACTTTCAAGATCAAACCTCAAACCAAAAGACAAAACAACAGAAGTTTTCAAATAAAATACATGGAGATTTTTTGTTCAGATTAAAGTATTTTTAGATTGACACTTCAGAACAAAGGTTAGAGTTTGGAAAAGCACACTAAGAAACTAGATCCTCCAGTCTCAACATGTGCTCATTAACTTTGTAAATTAGTAATGCAGCACAGGCGGGACGAGTCAAATGAGTCTAACCTGCATATCCAGCTTATACACAAAAAGAGGGATGGATATTTCGGGAAGTTATTGAACAAAAATGGGAATTCAAAGTAAGCAGCTAATGCCCATCACATGTCACTAGATAAACATAAAAAAATTAAAAGGTTAGTTCTTGAAAACTGTCATAATTTGCTCACCCCCCTTTTTTGTCAATGGTGACCAAAACTATTTGGTTACCAATACGGATGTTCATTTCGGTTATTTTTCCTAACCAACAACCAACGCTTGTTAACCGATTATTAACTGTTAACCGACAAGTTTATTTTAAATTAGAATTTAATTAAATTAGAAAGGATAAGTGTCTGTGACCAGTTAAAAATACTAACATTTGTTTCCCGGGGATTAATTTTACATGCGCAAAAAGCAGCAAACAACAGAACATGAGGATTCACATAGTCTTCATATCCATCGCAGCGCTCTGCGAGCGGAGATAAACATAATAAAGCTAGGCTATATTTATATAAAGAATAATAATATAATAATAACAATAAATAGGCCTAAATGAGAAATATATTTTTACTTAATAAATTAAGAAAACAAAATAAAAACTGTGTAACAAGTAGCCTAGTATGCAGAGTTTCGGTTCATTTTTGTGCTGCGCGAAAGGAAACAGACGGCAGAAAAAATACATCCTATTTTTCTTTTTGGCTTATTTTACAAAAGCACAAAGATTTGTTTTTATTGTGAATATACACAAATAAAGGCAAACCTTTTACAATTCCGATTATCTTTAGGACTAAAAGGAGTAGTTGCTTCCACTGTTAGAAGGAAAAAACTCAAGTGATTGCGCCGGCGCCACATACGCACACAGTTAAGCTTTGCTACCTTGACAATGCATCCTGTTCATTATCATAATAAAATACAGTCAGTCAAAAATATGGAAAAAACACACTGCTCAGTTTAAATATGTAGTAAAATCTGTGCCGTTAAGCGTTATCACCGTACCGCCATGATGTTATGAAAAACATTTAGTCTTACGTGGATATTGGAATGCCAGTGAAGCAGACTACATGATAAATAATAATTTGGCATTCAAATACATCGTGAATACGGAAACATTTGATTTTGTATCGAATGAGAGACCCAACGTTGATTTCAGTTTCGTTATAGCCTAAATGAATTCGTTTTGGCTTGTCGTTTATATTGCTATAGCTTCTTATATTTTTAATTCTTGTTCTTTTCTAAATACTGTTAATTGAAAGATTTTGTTGTGGAGTGAGGGGAACTAAAATAGCCTAGCTATTAGGGCTGTGCAATATATCAAAATTATCGAAATATCTCAAATGTACATATCGCAATATGCATATCGCTACAGCTTGCAATATTTGGGGCCAATTACAATTAAACTTTTTGGTAACACTTTACAATAAGGTTCATTAGTTAACTACATTAGTTAACATGAACTGCACTTATACAGCGTTTATTAATCTTTGTTAATGTTAATTTCAACATTTACTAACATTATTAAAATCTTGTTAACATTAGTTAATGCACTGTGAACTAACATGAACTAACAATGAACATCTGTATTTTTATTAACTAACGTTAGTGAAGATTAGTAAATACAGTAACAAATGTATTGCTCATGGTTAGTTCATACATTAACTAATGTTTAACTAATGAACCTTATTGTAAAGTGTTACCTACATTTTTATGTAATGCTCGAGTAAAACACTACCGTGCACTTTCAGAAGTTGTTGTAGGGGTGCTTTCTTATTAGAATCAGAATGAGATTTATTCACCACCGTTTAATTTGAGCATGTGGCACTTTAAGCATTATCGGTTCGCATATCAAATTATTTAATGAATGAATTGCATATCGCATTTTTCTTCAATATCGCACAGCCCTACTAGCTATGTTTACAATGTTTATTATAATGTTTGTAAACATTTCGCGTCAGCATTAGGCCTATTTCTGAATGAAATAATAAAATGCGACTTATACAAATTTCTTTATATACGTGTAGCGTATTTTAACCATGCAGCAAACTTTTTTAAATATTTTGATAAATTACAGAAAAAAAAAATAAATGACTTTTTAAACCATTTAACTGATTGCATTAATCGGTCAAATTCTTACGGTCGGTTAACGGTTAACCGGTTAAAATGAACATCCCTAGTTACCAACATTCATCTTTTTTATTCAACATAACAAAATGCCATGTTTGGAAATACATGAGAGAGAAAATTATGACCGCATGTTTCTTCAATATCGCACAGCCCTACTAGCTATGTTTACAATGTTTATTATAATGTTTGTAAACATTTCGCGTCAGCATTAGGCCTATTTCTGAATGAAATAATAAAATGCGACTTATACAAATTTCTTTATATACGTGTAGCGTATTTTAACCATGCAGCAAACTTTTTTAAATATTTTGATAAATTACCGAAAAAAATAAATAAATGACTTTTTAAACCATTTAACTGATTGCATTAATCGGTCAAATTCTTATGGTCGGTTAACGGTTAACCGGTTAAAATGAACATCCCTAGTTACCAACATTCATCTTTTTTATTCAACATAACAAAATGCCATGTTTGGAAATACATGAGAGAGAAAATTATGACAGAATTCTAATTTCGGGATCAACGATTAATAAGAGCAGTTAAAAATCGGCCAAAAATAAATGACTTTTTAAACCATTTAACTGATTGCATTAATCGGTCAAATTCTTACGGTCGGTTAACGGTTAACCGGTTAAAATGAACATCCCTAGTTACCAACATTCATCTTTTTTATTCAACATAACAAAATGCCATGTTTGGAAATACATGAGAGAGAAAATTATGACAGTATTCTAATTTCGGGATCAATGCCAACGATGTCAGACTGAAAGCCTCAGAGTCACCATTTAATGCCACTGGACGGCAAATTATGCAATGAAATTGAATGGTGACTGACCAAGCCAGGCTTAAGACAACTCTTTGAGTGTGAATAAATGATTTTTTTTATTTTAGAGTGAACTGTTCCTTTAAGATGTTACTCATCCTACAGATCGATTCTTTAAATCAATGAGTGATCTTTAATCAATAAGGGAGCAGTACATCACCAATCTGTCAAAGTCGATAAAACAACAACAAAATCGGTAGCTTGTTGGATAGCAGCTGATTCCAGCTAACACATGCTAACAGCTCGTTATAACCAAAACACGAGGTGCTGGACACAGACAAGTCGTTTACTCTGCTGCCAACATCTCATTCATATGACTGTAACAATATATAGCCGACGGGATTCAACTTGAGGCAAAATGAAACAAACGGAGTCCTGACACTGACTCGCGCTGGAATGACAATAGCTCGCTAACCAGACTTTAACCTTAATTTAGGATATCAGGGGGCAGTGGAGGATCTCAGTGGTGTGTTTGAGGCCTGAGAGGTAACAAAAGCAGCTCACCCAGCGCCACTTGACAGGCCTTGCGCAGCTGGCTGTGTTGGCTCCGCTTCACCTCCTTATCCGCGAGGATTTTCTCCAGCGCTCGAGACAGAAACATGCTCTTGGTGCTCAGGCTTTCTGTCTGCGTATGCCGTCGATGGGTTTCCAGCTCTTCCTGCTCTTTCATCTCTCGGTTGACGTGTTAAAGTAGTCCGTCAGGCCGTCATCGCTGGCCCGTTCCCTGCGGTTTGGCAGGGGTGTGAGGTTACCAGGAGCGGGCCGATGTTGTCGCTGGTTCAAGCGGGGCCAGTTGGACGCTGCTATCTCAGCACTGCGTCGCCATGTTGGCCGCACGTCACGTCACGTGACCCGCAGGCTCTTACACTGATGTGTACATTCAGAGCACGGCTCGGCTGAGGTGGAAATGAATGGGCCATGTTTCAGGTAGTTAGTGTAGGAGTCCTCCAAAAAAAAAAAAGGGATAAAATATTTGGAGGCATGCAGTGGACATTTTAGGTCTTAAGTATTTAACAGTGTGATCGCCAGTATATATAGTTTATTATAGTCATAGTGAAAAAACTCTAAAAAGTCTCTAGAAGGAAGCGCCAATAAATTAAAAATTATTAATACATTTTTTCAATAATTAATTATTATTAAAAATAGGTAAATACACTTGGCTCAAAGTTGTAGGTGTGTCTATAAATTAAGTTAGTCATTTGGAATCATGCACACTCACACACACACACACACACACACACATACACACACACACACATACACACACACACACATACACACACACACACATACACACACACACACATACACACACACACACATACACACACACACACATACACACACACACACATACACACACACACACATACACACACACACACATACACACACACACACATACACACACACACACATACACACACACACACATACACACATATATATATATATATATATATATATATATATATATATATATATATATATAGTTACTAATGTGCACTTTGGACATATATATTTGTAAATGTATAATATTAACTAACACATTAAAATGACATAAAAGAATACATTATATATATACTGACCAGACATGCTGGAAAGGAAAATCTAGAATAACATTTATGTCATGATGTGACCTTCCTTGTACCATCTGTGTTTTTAATAAACAAATATGAATAGGTCGGTATATTTTGTTTTGCAGTATTATCGTACAAAACCTTTTTTTTTTTATGTCACTAACCAGCTTTGTAAAGACGTGCTTTTTTAAACAAAAATGACCAAAAAATTATTAATAAACCATGAGTACTTTAACTTGTGCAAAGGCAGATATTAAAAATGAGAAAATCGAACTTATTTGTTAGATCAGTTGGACAAAGCTACACTGTTGAAGCAGAAGACTGCTGTTCCAGGCTTTAACCACAGGGTGGCCTCCTGACATCAGAGTTTTGCTGCCCTACACCTCTCAGCACTATGGTGTGGCAGAAAACTAACGACATATAATGTTCAATTTATGATAAGGCTAAAGTAAAAGTAAAAAGAAACAAAGTTTCCAGTTGTTTGGAGTTTTTAAAGTAGCACTGAAACAGCCTTTAATGTCAAGTCATCGTTTTTTTCACTGGCTGCAATAATGATGTTTTAACATGAGGCTAAATAGTTGTTCTTTTGGACAACAGTCCTTGGTCAGTTCCTCCAAACAAACAAACAAACAAAACATCTAATTGTCTCTCTAATTCTAATAACTTAGCAAAGGTAGATGTTGCATAACACATTCAGTGCCTCTTGTTTAAACCTATGCTACTTCATTCTTTTTATGTTATTTTAAAGCATGTTTTCTTTAAAGCAGTTCATTTGGGCCTAACGACAATAAGCTGCTTTGTATGTATTTTAAAAAGCTCTTTACAAATAAACTTGACTGATCGAGTTAACGCTGATCCTCCAGCGTATATTTCAAACTGACACACATCACTGATCAAATGAATTCATGACCAACACACCAAGCAAGGAACATAATCAGTGATTTTCTACATATTAGTTTATTTCATTCAAGATTTGACTATAATACATGTGCAGCTATGTCTTAATATAGTTTTTATCCTTTTAAAAGTTTCATTATGTGAAACAAATTTACATCATATACAAATAATCAATTTTTACAGCTTTTATTAATCCAGGTTAATGTTGAATTTATACACATACTATCATTCACTGTTCATGATACATTATCTAATGTTTATTTAAACAACTTTAAATGATAAAAAAGGTAAATATTAGTATATGCAGAACTGAACTTTAACATGGATAATGTAAAAATATTATTAATTGTTAGTTACTGGTAAAAAAAAAAAATTTTATTGCCTGAATGCACTGCAAGTCGCTTTGGATAAAAGCTAAATGCATAAATGATACATTATTAAATTATAAATTAGTTATGATACCTAATGAATTAAATGTATAGTTCAACCCAAAAAAATTTTAAAATAAGGTTCAATTTGTTAACATTAAATAATGCATTATGTATCATGAACCCAAAATAATCAATTTTTACAGCTTTTATTAATCCAGGTTAATGTTGAATTTATACACATACTATCATTCACTGTTCATGATACATTATCTAATGTTTATTTAAACAACTTTAAATGATAAAAAAGGTCAATATTAGTATATGCAGAACTGAACTTTAACATGGATAATGTAAAAATATTATTAATTGTTAGTTACTGGTAAAAAAAAAAAAAATTATTGCCTGAATGCACTGCAAGTCGCTTTGGATAAAAGCTAAATGCATAAATGATACATTAAATTATAAATTAGTTATGATACCTAATGAATTAAATGTATAGTTCAACCCAAAAAAAATTAATTCTGTCATCACCACCACATTGTTCCAAACCTGTATGACTCACTGCATATCTTTAAATATATTTCATTATATACCCATACAATGAAAATCACTGGGGTCTAAACAAACACTGGACCCCATTGACTTTCCATGTATGGACATTTCTTCTTTTATACTCCATAGAAGAGAGAAAGTCATACAGGTCTAGAATGACATAAGTATGAGTAAATGATATTTGATTATTTTGAACTTTTGGCTAAACTATCCTTTTAACTAATGTTAACTAAATGAACCTTATTGAAAAGTATCACAGTAGAAACACTCTTCATAAATGAAACAACCAAGTGTCCACATCAGAGCACTCCTTCGAAACATTACCGATAATGATTATGTATTCCAAATCCCCAGAAAGGGTTATCAAGTCAAGATCAACAGGTAAAATAAACCACAGGTTAGAAAAAGAGCAGGATGATAGCCCTTGTCATAAGGAAATATAAGTGATGCAAATAAAACATATCAGTATGAAAAATATGACATTAATCATCTGTCTTTTTGGCTATGATTAAAAACATTTGAGATAATAATAGACATCTTAACCAAGGCAGCAGTCTATAACCGTACTGAAATGTCCGATCACATGAAAATATCTCCTAAACATTCACTCGAGCCCCACAAAAGGTTCACAATTCCCCTGAAAACCACAAAAAAATCGGTAAGCTGAGAGTGTTAATGTTGCAGACGGGAATGGATGAAGAGCATATTTCAGTTCCTTCTGAAGTTCTGTAGCTCAGACTCAGTTACCATGGTAACGCAGAGGATGGGTAAAATCCATTGTACTTTGTTCTCTGATAACCCTAGAGCCTTGTGGCTCGAAAGGGAGTGGTTGTCAAAGTATAAAAAGATTGTCATGACTCATACGGTGCTGAGTATCTGATGGCCGTCTGCATTCATTCAATCACACTGACTCAGGAAGTTCATTATAACGCAAGAAGCAGCTGTTTTTGGTGCTGTGCTGCTCTCCATGGGGTTGATGATAGGAACTACCTGGTCCTGCGGTTTTAGAGAAGTGCTATAAGGTGCTGTGGTGACTGGCCTTCTCTTTTGGTCCTGGACCAAATATAAAGACATGCATTTTCAGTCCTATGGCACACAATAGCGTGTATTGGCATATGTGTGTGATTATATGCTGCGTGTGCATCTTTACAGTGTAATGACTGTGCCGTCCTCCTCTAGATTTCGCCCTTCCAAACCCCTGTCATGGACATTCAGAGACCCCACGCTTGCACTGCTTGCCATGGTACCATTTGAGGGGCGGAGGTCGAGGTGGGGCTCGTACCTGGGCAGGGCGGGCATGCTGGTGCTGGCTCTCGCCCGCGCCCCTGCCTGCAGAATAAGTTTAGCCTCTCCGTCTGCCTCGATGACCAGATCCTCCTCCTCCTCGCTCTCCTCATCTGGTTCATAGTTCTGGATAATATGGGATGGGGTCATCGCCATCGAACCAGGAGTTGAGTAACCGTAGAAACTGGTGCTGCTGTCAGATGATCGTCCTGAGCTGCCGGATGTGGCTCCGCCTCCACTGTTGCGTACCACGTTATTGCGCTGATTGGCTGGTTTGACGGTTATAATGAGGTTGTGGCTGTTTGCGATCATCATGTCCGTTACTTGGTCCAAAGACTTCCCGCTCACCTCAATGCCGTTGACTTCGAGCACCTCGTCGTTGACGGCCAGCAGTCCCGTGCTCTCAGCCAGGCCTCCAGGGACCATGCGAGAGATGAAGATGCCCGGGACCTTTTCCAGGCCTTGGGGTGTAACGCGTACGCTGGACCCGTCGCGAATGTAGAAGCCCAGTGGTTTCTCCTGACCATGTTTGTAGAGACGGACACGGCGGTGTGTCTCTGGTAGGATGTCCACATCAATGATGGAGGACACTGGCCGGAAATCTTTGGGCAGGCTGATGATAATAGGAGGCTTCTTCTTGTTGGCATCCGGGCGAAGGAGGACCGCTGCGATTGCCGCCGGGGTCTTCTTACGGGTCACGGAGTCCGTGCCGAATGCTGAATAATCTGCCTCCTCTGCACAAAAGGAAGAAGAATGAGAAAGAGAATGTAAATATGTAACGCTTGTGTTAGACATTGCAACTTAAAGGAATATTGTGGGTTAGAAACCAAGTTTAGTTTATTTAGTGATGGGTAACAATGGTCAAGTCATTCAACCATAAAATAAATTTTTTTGTATATATTTGATTTTTGCTTGTTTTTAAACAAAAATAAAATGGTAATATAGTAAAACAACTAAAAGTGTCTAGGCATCAACACTTTTCAGTGGCTTTGTAAATGCAGTACAATATCTGCATATTGTTGTGAATGTAAACAACCACTCTGATCAACAGTCATGTTTAATTTAAATAATAAATGAAAATAATTTAAAACACTTAAAATTTTTTGTTAGCTTTTACTTTATTTAAAAATAAAATAAAATTAAATAAAATTAAAATGGGCAATATAGTGCAATAACTAAAAGT